GATGCACCACTATTTTCCAGGCAGAAATCTTTGCGATTCTGGCTTGTGTATCTCGCATTCTGGAGGAGGGTGCACCTAGGAAAAGAATAACAATCTTATCCGACAGCCCGGCTGCAATGAAAGCACTAAGTGCCTGTAAGATTACTTCGAGTCTTGTATTGCAATGCAGAGAGGCTTTAGAATGCCTAATGTGGGTACCAGGGCACGCTGGGGTAACCGGCAATGAGACGGCGGACGGTCTGGCGAAGATAGGATCAGCCAGCAAGCTCGTTGGTCCTAAGCCAGCTTTAGGAGTGACCGCGCATAGAGCTAGGAGGAAAATGGAGACATGGATCAGAAATGGAGAAGTATCTCCAGACATCTCCGCCACGCACAGGAACTCACTGAAGGGCCCAGTGCCAAGGATGGACGTTTCTGCTTATCTCTGGATAGAGCCAACCTAAGGTTGCTGGTGGGACTGCTGTCTGGCCATAACACGTTAAGGCGCCACCTGCATGTGATGGGGGTGGCGGAGGATCCCTTGTGCGAACGCTGCGGAGTAGAGGAAGAGACCTCGGCGCACGTTTTGTGTCGCTGTGAAGCTCTGAGCTACTATAGGCAGACTATACTGGGGTCCATTACTTTGGACCCTCAGGACGTTAAGGAGCTTGGACTCAAGGCGATTCTTAACTTCGCTAAAAGGGCGAGGCTTGTGATCTAAGGAATGAAGAAGTGCATAAGGGCCCGTTTAAGCGGCCTATGCACTGGCTCCTTATGGTGGCCGGAACGCCTCTAATTTCACGATTTAGTCATTCTACTGCAAGTGGAAATACTCTATCCTCTAGGTTCAAAGAAGGGAGAGGAGCGCATACTGGCAGATATTCACATTAAAGCAAAGAATTCAGGCATACGCTGACAGAGGCTTTCATTGATATCCTGTTCTTCGGTGTAGGTCTGACCAAGTCAATTCTAAATAGAAATCAGATAAATATGAGCAGCAACTGAAGGCCAAAAGGCCATACAACGTACTAACAACATTAGATATCATCCCTTATTGCAGATGAGGTATGTAGATTAGCAGGGACATTGAAGCGTATTCAGCATCAATGGCATAGCTTTAGGAATGGCTCTAAAGTCCTGAGTTGGACTTAAGTGGTCACTTTCCATGCACATGGCGACTGGTTCGGCACTTTGCCATAGCTTAGTCTCATTAGTCCATCTATTCTATCTATGCTATCAGTAAAAAAGTTGAGCCAACTAGCACATATTCAACTTTTTCTTGCCCCCAAGGCTGATGGGTCAACACGTTTGATTCTTTACCTCAAGACACTTTGTCTGAGGATAGGGATAGAACACTTAAATCTAGGCTATTGAACTGGGATCAGACTTCTCCGTAGAGATACTTTCTTAACGAATCTGGATTTAGAATATGCAAAAATTATGGTACCCGTCAGGGAGAGTCATGGAATATATTTCAGATTCATATTCAAGGGACAGCTCTTCCAATGTACTGTTTAGGGTAAATTGTGCCCCTCATGGGTTCACAAAGTTAGTAAAACTATTTCTGGAATACCTTAAGAAAAAATTTAGCACTTTCAGGCTCAGTATTAAATTGTAACGCTACTGTGCCACTAACATAATATAACTTAAGGTCTACCTCGACTGGGGCTCAAAGAAACTGGCAGATGCGGTCAGAGGTATTGAATTATCCAATTTATAGTTGTATAATTTCTCGGACTGGGACATTCGTAGGCCAGGGAAAAGTCTCATAATTTTTGGTCACCAGTGCAAACTAATTGAAACAGACATCTGGATTGGGTTGAATAATATTGAAATTGGGATTTGTCAGTTTTTGGAAGTTTCGAGGTAACTCATGTGGCACCCACGTTTAGTTTTACCATAATTTACGCCCAAATATCTGTGCAGTCAAAGTATTTATATGTCACTGTACAGTAACTTTATCATGGTGCCTCTGCTCCCAGACGGATGAAGTCGGTTTTAGCAGAGAGTGTCACCATTGACAGCTCACAGTACATGAAATGTGTCTACCTCTGCGCCTGTTAAATTATAGTAGTCTCAGGCTCACGGCGGGCTGGAGTGCGTTTTCTCAGATACGTCACAAATCTCTTATGCCAAACAATAGCTTTGCTCAAGCGGCATTTGAGGTGAACCAAGTCTCCACACCTTAAACATAACTATGTTATTACGTTATTTGCTTATTACCATGTAACGGATGGCAATCTTTGAACCAATGTACGACATATTACCTGTTGCTGAAAGCTTTAACTTGAGTTATTACAATGGAAATGTACATTTAGTTGACATGTATATTGTGTACAATTTGTGTACAACCTATCGTTTACTATTGCAGAGCGTTAGTAGTATGTTGTTGCTACCGGCTTTGAACATCTACAATATGTATTCTAAATATTTACTTCGACGAGGACGGAATACAATTACATGATCAGATGATCGAACATCACTTTCAGGTAAGTGATGTTCGATCTTAATTATGTGAAGTCTTCGTCGAAGTAAATAGCCCTCGTTCCCTATGTATCACCCAATTGTTGCAACAACTTGGCTTTGAAGAAAATGAAGGTTTGGAGGTAGGGCGAAGAAGTGCGGTGCCGCTTTGAAATCGTGGGGTTGGGTACTACTACGAGGGTACTACGGTATGTATTCTAAATATCTACTTTGACGAGGACTTCACATAATTAAGATCGAATATCACTTACAGGTAAGTTCGTTTGATCTGGATAATGTCCACCTGTATACGGTTTTTCCTATCATTTCTGCTAAATCAGTAAATGTTTTCTTTGACATGCGGCAAAGTTTAGAGAACTGAAAGTTATCATAGCTTCAAAGTCATGGTTCCATCATTTAAAATTATTTTCTGTAAAGAAAAACACATTTTTCCCATTACTATTATGAAATGTTTCTTTTTTAAACTTTTCATACATTGTTGTAGGCGACAAAGCACCGACTATTTAGTGATAATAAAAATAATCAGCAATTATATACGCACTTTTCTAAAATAAACAACCTGCAACAAAACCGCGGTTAAAACCAACACGTTCAAGCGATGCGAGTAAGTGACGTCATAAAACCGAAATTTTGGTTATTCGCTTGGATTTGATTATAATTGCTTATGTATCCTACCAACTTCATTTTTTCAGTTTGTCAATTGAACTTTATTTTGCGACATATTATAAAGTGATTGAAAGTATAGTTATTTATTATACAAGGGAGACAATACAACCTCAAGCTAAAATCTAGTATTTTTCCTGTGTATAATACAAACATTTTTTATGTGACGGGAAAAACGACGATCTAATACTGAAAAATTATATTATTACAATATTTAAGTCAGAAAATTATCGATGTGAAATTTGAATTTTGAAATTAGTAGGCTATGTTGTATTTAAAGCGACAATTGGACCTGTGTAGCTAAAGAAACTTTCAAAATAATCAAATAGCTGTCAATTTACTTTTGAGATTTGATTTAAAAATTGTGAACTTAGTGGTTGTTTAGAAGTTATTTTTAATACTATAAAGTAAAAAATGTCTAATTCCGAGTGTTCTTAGACTCCACCGGACATAGTAGAAATAGCCAGATTAGCGTCACAAAAATTATTGCCAGCTAAGTCATTTATACAATATCGGGGAGAAAAATACTAATTTTTTTCTGGGGAAAAAGTAATTTCATAAAAAGTGACATTTTCTTACCTGTCAATAGAGATAAAATGTCAACTTTTTCCCGTCACACAAAAAAGTAATTTTATAATAATCGACGTAATGTTTGAAAACGACTCAAACAAACAAAATGAAAACATTTGATTTTTAACTCTCCTTGAATTGATCAGTTCAAAGCAAATTGGCTATCTGTTGCATTTATCCATATGATATATTAGATTGAAAAACAGGTAATTAGATGAGCAGGCTTTCTATATGCAATTTGTCCATTTTTTAACATTTAAAACCAAAGATGGCATCGAAATCTAGATATACACCTATTCAATGGAATGCAGCAGAAAACGTCCTAAATGCATGTTATCTCATGCAAATTAAGTGATAAAAGTTCCTTGGACTTTCTGTGTCATGTATGTCCATTAGCGGCAGCCAAACTAACAGATGTTTGTACTTGCGGACTGGACTAATTGCCATTAGACCGTGTTTTTGGACAAATAGAACAAGTTGCACGATCCTACACTACAACGAAAACACCGACACAATATTATGATACTTGCTCAAAGAAGGGAGACGTTAGACAGCTTGATTATGATATAATCTACTGTACATTTACTTATTGTAACGCATATTAAAACAAAACATGGTTGCAGCCAATCCTTTCTGATAATCGTTAGCAAAATGAGAATCAAGTTAACCAAGATGAAATTGACGATGATGATGTTCCCGACGAAGCTGGCATGTTGTGCGATTGCAGTAATGATGACGTTGGGAGCCTTTATGACATGTAAAATATGTAATTATTGCTTTGTATTTCCAAAATAAAATACCAGTTTCATAAATCTACGTGAGATTTCTACATCCTTAGTACAAAGGCAGTCATGCTGCTTTATGTAGGCAATTAAAATGCATTTTTTCCTAGGTTGACAATCTAAATGCAGTTTGTCCGACAGTTTTTCAAGTTTGTTTAGGATATAATCACTACTAGATTTTTTTGCATGTAGGTATAATATTTGTACACTTTTCATAAATTTTTTGGGTATATCAATTTATTGATTAATTTCTTGCCAAGCACGTAGTAGTTTTTCACTTGCTAAAATTACAAAAAATGCTCCTCAGATATTTTAAAGTATTTGTAAAATGAATTAAATACTTCACGATTTGAAATCAAATATTCTCTTATATATTTACAGGTATACTGTTACTAGTGAAAATCTTAACAGCAAGATTCCAAATAAATTAATTTTTTCGAAAGAGCCCATGAATCTACTTTTTCAATCGCTCCTCGTATATCTGCAACCTATCATCACTAATAACAAGTATCCACAGTAAAATTTGCCGGTCCATACAATTTGAACTGATAACAACCATCATGTACTAATATCAGAGTTTACACAATTCCTTGCTTTAGAATGTCAGTGTCACAGTAGCCATGAAAACGTCGGTATTATTGGTGTCGTTTGTGCTGGCGGCATTTTTCAATGTCGGAAATGCTTCGAAAATTCTTTTCGTCCAGGCGTTTTGTGCCCATAGTCACTATACCTTGGGGGTGACCATCGCCAATGAGCTTGCAGCGAGGGGCCACCAAGTTACTCTTATTGCCCCCTATAAGCAGGAGAAGCCTCATAAGAATTTAAAGGAGGTCATTGTGGACTCATGCACTACAGTGTCAGGTAAGACTTACAACAGGAATAAATTAAATCATTGTCTGGGAGCAGCTACTAAGGTCACGTCTGCCGTTATATGTTCTATCAGTTTGAATGCAGTGTATTTTAGGAACCTATGGGGGTATATAAAAATCGAAATCTCTTGTTACCCCGCTTTCTAAGAAAAAACATATTTTGTAATAACATATTTTTTTAATTATCCAGTAGTTATTAATATATTTCAAGGTCTCCAGTTTTCATGAATTCATTTATGCGAATAATACTAATTTAAATGGAATAACAATCCATTTTTGGTACAGTAAAAAACAAGTTTGAGAAGTAAGTAGTAAAGTATTTAGTTTAAGTATTATTTACTGATACTAAAGACAGTATTCGCTGTTCCCCATATAGTCTTCCTGTAGTAGCTCAGAGCCTCATAGCGACACAGAACATGGACCGAGGACTCTTCCTCTACACATGGGATCGTCAGCCACCCCCATGGGATACAGTTGGCGCCTCAACGTGTTATGGCCAGACAACAGTCCGACCAGCAACCTCTGATTGGCTCTATCCAAATATAAGCAAAATCGTCCATCCGGAGATCTCTAGAGATGTGTCTCCATTTCTGAGAGTTTTGTCTTGCAATCTGCTTCTCCATTTTCCTCCTTCTTTGCTCACTCCCTAAGGCTGATTCAGGACCAACGAGCTTGCTCGCTGATTCTTATTTCGCAAAACGTGTGCCAGATAATTGCCCTTTATCTCATTCCCGCACTAACGACACCAGATGCCTCGCTGCTAGATTATCCGGAGCCTCCCTGGATTGCAAGACAAGGCTCGGAGTAATCTTGCAGATACTTAGTGCCTTAATCGCAGCCTACATGTTGGAGACGATTGTTATTCTTCTCCTAGGCACTTCTCTCTCCAAAATACGGGACACGCAAGCCAGAATGGGATAGATTCCCACCTGGAAAATAGTTGTATATGCATCGAGAGACAGAGATGGCTTAGTTCTAGGCCCAAACACTCCAACGCCAGAGCCCTTTTCAGTGACCGAGCCGACCTTCAGGTCACGCGATAAAAATCGTGTTTGGCTGTAATATTTAAAAACGACCGTCAAACTGTACAACTGTTGTTGGCATATCGTAACCAGTACTCATTTTATTTTATTTGAGCTCACTCGACTCCTTTCTTAAATACATAAATATTTTATGATTGTACATTTTTTGATTGATCCAACAATTACTGATGATTCATTTTTGGAGAAGCTGAAACCAGCACCTAGTAGTTAGATTGCATTTACTAATCATTAAAGCATTTCTCGCATATATTATACCAGAGTTGAACACGATAATTTCACAGATTGGGCCGCTTTTCTAGGTGAGCATGTAGATGCAAATTCTATTTGTTTAGAACACAAATAACTTTTGCAAAAAAACAATTCGTCATATTTTGCTGAAACTGAATCTGAAACATAATGTCACAACGTCCACACTTTTAAATATGTGATATGTGGCTGCTCCTAGACCATATCTATGTATATATTTTCGAATTACGCAGATTCTGGGTATCATTCATCTGATTTAAGTTGGTAACAATTTTACAACTTCCACATTCTTTTATGACGTACATCTGTCATCTGTCTTCTACGTCACATTTCCGGGTCATTTAACTCCACCACGTATAATGGTCCTTCCCCGTGATGTAGTCTTAGTTTTTAATAACTTGATTACTTTTTCCTCATCTCAATCCATTCCGGTTTATTGACAAATATTTGTAACTGTAACTGTAGCTATATGTTCCGTCGTTAACAACAATTCCAATGTGTCTGGTCGTTTTTTTTATAATCGTAACAACTGGTCTCATCCTCGAAAGAGGTCTATCACATAACTTAGCAGCGACCTCTTCGAATAGTAAGTAATTGAAAATTAAATTGGTTCTAAAATGTTTGCTATTTTCAAATTTGTGTTTAGCTCCTGAAGACAGCAACATAGTTTGTCGAAAGCTCGAGATTTAAGACAAAAGAGTTCTCTACGCTAATCATGTGTCTTCAGGTACACCGATTTGGAATGGATAGCAGGGCACAATTCCCCCCGGTCTGAACATGATGGTCGTACAAAAATTAATTGAACTATATCCGTCAGCCGGTAATCTAAAGTCGCCATTTTATGGTACGAGTTCAAGCAATTTTAAAGTTTTTAGCGCACGATCAAGGGGTACGTGGTGGACAAATGAAGGGTTTCTGTTGGCCTATTGAGTACATTAGAGGCTTACATGAGGTGATTTGGATCTTTTGAAACAGAAGACGAGATTCGCCTGATTGAACAACTAGTATTTTGTAATTTGTTACCAGAGGATACTGATCTCCATGATTTGGTTAAAAATATAATTCGTCAGCATATCCACAGATGTAAAAAAGAAATACCAGTGCTTGTTAGATGCGGTTTTTCTAGAAAATATTTCAACGATACTTGCACTGTTCCATGCTTTTTGGCAATCATCGGCACTGTCCAGGTAGGGCATCTAATGGAAACAGAGCAAAAGTATTGTGCGACAGCGAACGGCAGCTGTCTGTTCCAACTGAAGAGATTTCGCAGTTACAGTTCCAGTTTTAATAGACTGAGACTTTTTAAACAATATACGGTAGATCACAAAGGCAAGATTAAAAGCTGGTCGTGAAGTCCTACATATTATGCCAATATTTAACCTCAAGCTATTTGAGAGAATTTAAACCTGGTTGCGGTTGTAAAGTTAGAGCTGCTAGAAAAAAGTGCTATTGATTTCAGAATCAAGGCACCCCACTTACATAATATCTGGTGAATTGGATTGAAATTCCAACATCTTTTGAAAAACAAGGACATATTCGCCCGAATATAGTATCCTGTCATTTACCACCAGGAAACAGCGGTCTTCATGAATTGTTTGAAAAACCAAACTCACTGGTGACCCACACGTGACACAAAACAATACGAGTACCGGCTTGGTTTTCTTTGACAAGAATTCGATAATGCTCGGATTAATAATACCATCTTCGTCCGTCCCGTCACAGAGAGCCAGCCGTGAAAAGCGTTTTTCTATGTTTATTGGCAATCGTCAACACAGTCTAGGACAAGGAACAAAAGCAGAGGAAAATTATACTTTATCCGAGGTATAAGATCTGTCAAAATGCTATCGCGCAAGCCCCATCTTTTACCATAATCAATCACTGCGAAAGTAAACAGTTACTTGTTGGAACTGTAGAGGTTACTGTTTCAATGCGATTTTTAATAGTATGCAGCTGCTTAAGCTACACATGGACATAAAAGACAAGTTGAAACACTGGCCATGAACTTTAGTCCTAGATAACAAGTGGTAATGTAAAAATTCTAGTCTTTTGAAGTAACTCAATAAGCAAAATGTTCCCGTATATATGTAAGGCACAATGATAACAGCAGTTAACGTAATCACCACTGTTAGGTACTCGTAGCGGTTAATCGCTGTTATGTTTTTAGATAATTATCTAATACATTTCGCTTTAGTAATTAAAGCATTTTGTGAATGTCATTATTCCATTGATGAAAACATGTTCAAGGTTAAAATTCTTGTTTTTCACTATCATCCAAGATCTGGCATATTTGATGCTAAAAATTAGATGCACTATATTAGGGAAGTACTCTCATATCACTTCAATGATATTTGACAAGTATTAGCGGTTTGTCTTATTCTATCTGGTCGGTTCTGGATGCTATAGACATATTCCCATTATTTTTACAAGTCAAGTAGTATACAAGTTGTGTGAAGGCTAAAACATATAATAGGGATGTTGATATTCACGAAAAAAATATTATAACAGAAACAATGTTGATCACTGATGCCGGAAACACGGTTTGTCGTCTTTCGGGGGATTCTTGACATCTGTGCAGGTTGAAAAGTATCAGACAAATTTTGGTGTAATATTTGTATTTGTAAATACAAAAAATCGGTGTTTATAGTTGAACAATTGTTATGTTATTACAGATCTCAAAGGCGACCTTTACGAAATGGGTCAGATGTCATATTGGGGCCAAATGCATGTGGCATCAACATTTGGCTTTCTTTCTTCTGACAAAGTGCTAGCAGATCCTCAGATCCAGAAGCTTCTTAGTTCCGATGAACATTTTGATCTGGTGGTATTGGAACATTTCTTCAACGAGCCCTTATTTATCTTTCCTTACAAATTCAAGTGCCCTTCTGTGACCATAGCACCAGGACCTATGACTGTATTCACCAACCATTTGATGGGAAACCCAGCTCCACCTAGCTATGTGCCCACTATACTAGCTGATTATGGCATTCATATGAGCTTCTGGCAGAGGATGAAGAATACATACATCAATCTATTAGGTGAGAATTAAGTAAGCAGCGAAATTCAAGTGTGTGATTAGGTAAAACCGTACAGCTTCATTTGAACTCTGGTTGAAGAAGCCAGTTTAAATGCTATCTAAAGGGTGTCTCGATGGGTGCTTCCAGATTTATTATAAGCGTCATTTATCATATTCCCTTATTTCTACTTCCTATGCCATCGCGAGTAAGTAATGTCGAAGCAAAAAATTTCGAAAATGAGATATTGTGTTTTTGAATCGAGTACAACATGTAAATCACGAAAAACCATGTCACACATTTCCGTCAGCCTGCCTGTCGGACTGCCTGTCTGCCTATCCGCTGATTCTTGGCCCATCTATAACTTGAGAAATATCATTCGAATTTGGATGACATTTTCACACATGGACGAAAAATTGGATCAGTGGCAGCAAAGCTAGGAATAAAGAGAGGAAAAAAATAAAGATTACTCAAACTTCGTTTTTTGACGTTTTACATGCTCCCTATAATTTTGAGAAAAAAATTTTAGGGGTTAAAAATTGAAGCTTGAGGGTTGTAAGGGGTGGGGAAGAACATAACTTATTTTTTTGATTGAAGTATATTTACACGCTTTCAACCCCGGTAATTGTACTCACCTATTAGCCATATTTTACACATCATAGGTTTCCCCATACTTTTGCCTTCAAAACTTGACTACTCTGCTCATACAGCAGTAGTGCCGCAGTGAACGCTGCCACGATATGGGAAAGGCCAACGTTGTCAGATGGAAGGTATCTTCCGGTAGGACAGGGAAAGAATGTCTGTGATTTAATTGCATAGGTCTCTTTGACTGACTTGATCCATTTTAACATTGCGCATGTGCCATCTAGACATCTGGAATTACTGGATTGTCAATCAGCGATCTCCGCGTGTGGCTACCGTTCACTTTCTAGTGTTAAGTGTTACGTACGAAAGTTCAAACATCGCTATCGGTTTTCCCTATTATGCTGATTAAACTTTGGCTATGATCAAAACATGCCATGTGTGTAGCGGATAATATACACTGGAACAGTGAATGTTTATGATACAGATATAGAGTTGTGGGAAAATACGCACCTTGACAATATGTTCTTTCAACAAAGTCGCGTCATAGTTACGGCAATGAAATTTTCATAGATACTTTTTTCCGTTTGCCGCCTGACTTTTAACAATGGTGATGTCCGTTGACTTGCAAAATTATGCTATCTAACCGCGCTTGACATTGTGGGGAATTCCTCTCTGATAAAATCTACTCAAAGGGTCCGCAGACGATCAAGGAACTGAGGCAAAACGTTTCTCAATTTATTAATAAAATTAAACCAAAGTTGTGCCAAAAGGTTGCAGACAATTTTACTTGAAGAATGATCTTTAGTAGAAACAGAAGAGCCGGGGTTTTTGGCGAGTTCCTTTAGATTTTGTGGAAAATGATGTTTTTTTTCAAAATGATTGGATTCATTTGAAAACCTCGAAATACCTTCAGGCACACCCTACACTCCTTTTCAATATATGCAAATTTACCTTTATTTCCATTTTTTAATATCAACCTTCTACAAATTCTGTTTGTTTATATATAACAAATAGAAAAATAATGGGCAAATTCCGCAAAAAGAAGGACTCCGGTGTATATCAGCAACCATTCAACTTAGAGCTATCGGTAAAATTCATTACTAAATGAGCCGCTAAAGTCACAAATGCCGTTGCACATATACCTGAAGTAGCTATTTGTATAGTACACGTGATTTGTGAACTTTTTTGTTGATGTAATTTTTTATAAGTCGTCTGGTTTAGTCTGTGGGGAGGGTTTAATATAATTCCAAAAGCAAATAGTGTTATTTTGTCACCTAATTTATCTTTCACATGTTCTTGGTTGCATTTAACGGAGCTTAAGTGCGTGGTTGTTGGTACCTAAGTTTTGTCATTTTAGTTCTCTTTCTAGCCATTAGGTGGCACTCAATGATGTAATAGTTGTTTTGCTATTTTTTTCGAAAGATTAACACGTGACGCTATCATTACTTTTCATTATTCAAAAAGTGCATAAAAATCCTGCATCTTCTCTATATATAAACGTGAATGTCTGTCCACGTGATCAGTATCACATCTTCACAACATTAGTACACTTACTAATTGATACCCGATAAAGGTTATAGGCATCGTTTTATCCGCCAATTCACCGTCGATGTTGAAATCAACTGTCGTGACAAGTACCAAAGTCTCCACAGTCATCGTCAAGCCGACAATAGCGAGGCCAGCTATTGCTTCACTCAATATGTGACCGTAAGAATCGCTTGTTAGATTTATGGTACATACTTAGTTAACACCCTGTATACTTCACATAGCTTTTGGATAGTATACGTGATTCGTGTGGGAGTCTAGGTTCTGATGGTCTTCATCTATTTTTATAGCCTTGGTTTTATTTAAAAATACTATTCTTCTAAAGGCGCTTATGTTTTGTCAGTTTAGTCCCTTTTCGTCTGTTAGGTGGCGCTTCATGACAAAATCACAGTATACTAAAAGCTGATGGAAAATGCTGCAAGCTATAGTGCAATCGATCGTCGTAATTTTTATTCCTGATAAAGTTATCAGTAAAAATAAAACTCGTTTAAAATTTTCGTATTTCACTGGGTTGTGCAATGCATTGAACTCACTATAATTATACCAAATGTATTATCCAAGCACTTAATCAATATATTACGCAAATCACTTTCAGGTTTCTCTTCATGATCGCTAAAGGCATAATTCCACTTTCAAAGATGAAAAAAGTATATATATATACAGGGTGGCCCAACAATGTGTGGACGGAATATTACTAATAAACAAATACATTTTGAGAAAATCCATTGATGGCATGCTATACATGCCATGTGAGGGCATATTTCTAAAATATTGGCAATTATACAGGGTGTGTCAATTTTGACCTACATATCAAAATTGTGATTTCTTAAATGGAATGCTTCAAATTTTGTTGCATATTTGGATAATCCAATTCAGAAGAAGAAGATTGATATAACATCCTATGGGGTTTTGGTAATTTGCTACTGAGATGTCAGGTGTTTGTCCAGAAATACCGTCCACTTAGGCAACCCCCCAATCTGCCATTTTGAAATTTGGAGTTCTGAGTTTTGTATCAAAAAACTTACACAGCTCAGCTTTTATCTTATTTGTTACTTTTTGGAATTTTAATTTTTGCTCATAAAGGGTGGACAAAAACGCGAATTGTAGTTTTTCTCAAACATTTCAAATGCATCACCCTGTATATTTGTGCAAGTTTGGATTCAATGTTTTATAAGCTTTTTCATGGTATAGGGTTTGATTCAGATAGAATCACTAGATTTTGAGTTATTAAGCTTTTAATAGAACAACACACCAAAATTAAAGAAAAAAATCACAGCATCCATGGAAACAAAAGACAAACAGTAGGCTACTTCCATATTGCCACTAAGAGTACAAATGTTACGTAAAAACTGATAACAATCAAAACAGCATGAATCAGCTTCAAGCGTAATAGAGAAAAACAACATATAGTCAACGCCAAACAAAGTGGCGTGCACGTCATCACGATAAAAATTCCCCGACCTAATGCCTAGGTTTCTATCACAAACAATTGCTCTATTGCAGTTTCATATTAATGTGATATATAAATTGTAAAATGGTCATTACTCTCTTATTATGGTTAATAGTCATATAAACATTGTTATTAAAATATCACATAAGTTGCTTTCTGATAAATTTAGACGCATTATGCGAAATAAAATGTTTTGCAAACGCTCCAATCACTTATCAACATGTAAACGCACTAAACCGATTTCGCAGCGTTGACACATTGTCACCTTGAAACTTATTTAAACTGGGAACTGACATTTGTATTAATTTTGACACAATCAATTTGTGGCATTTCAAATCTTTATAAATCCTTTGGCCCCGCATACTGTAAATCAACAACTGTTTGTTTCAAAACAAAATTATTCATTTTACGAGTAGATAAAGGCAATTTTGGTATATAAAGATGCCCAAACAGTTAAATAGTCGATGTAAGGAACTCGTGGCCTCGTTAATGCACTACTTTGAGCAAGAAAGGGACAACAACGGGCCTTTGTTGCCTTTAAATGCTGTTCAAGAGGTAGGTTACTAATAATTATATGTAATGTATATTAATAACAGTGAAATTTTATTTCATTTTTTGTAGCGTGTTGCTGCTGCTTTAAAAATTAGTTTAAGGACAGTTAGTCGTATTTCCGAGGGTGTGAAAAGTGATGCAAATTTAGAATCGCCCAAGAAAAAGCGGAGTTATATTAAACGTGTAACCAACACAGCGACATTGGATACAAGTGCCATTCGAGAAGTGATCTATAATATGTATCACAAAAGTAAGATCTTATTATAATAACTTATCAGAAATTTGCATTAATTTGTTAACTAAATTATAATGTCATATTACACATGGTTTCAGAAGAACAAGTTACGATACAAACTTTATGGTCTCGATTAAGAGATAGGGCATTATTTGATGGTAGTGCCACGTCTTTAAGGCGGTTGCTTAGAGATCTTGGATTTAAGTGGCTTAAGGACAATCCGCGACGAGGGCTCATGGAACTACCAAGTATAGCTTTGAAAAGGGTGGAATTTCTAAGGCAATATAATCAAGCCAAGGTTGAGGCCTTATACCAGTTTGTCTTCCTCGATGAAACTTGGATATTTCAAAATGGGACCATAGGTCGCTCTTGGCAAAATGGAAACAAAAAAGGCGTGAAAGCTATTAAAACAGATGGTAAAAGGTATGTACTTTTACACAATTTGCACTATAAAATTTAAAACTAATATATTTTAGATACATTATATTACATGCTGGAAATGAAAATGGGTTTATTGAGGGTAGTGAAGCGATATTTTCTTCGAAAACAAAATTGAGCGATTACCATAGAGAGATGAACCAGGACAATTTTTTGAAATGGTTTCAACATCAGTTATTAGAAAAATTGGAGAGTCCATCTATGATTATACTGGATAACGCCCCTTATCACAGCATGATATTGAACAAAGTGCCCAACAATGCATGGACAAAAAAAAATATCCAAGACTGGTTGACAAATCAAAACATACCATTTTTAAACACAATGTTTAAAACAGAGCTATTGAGTATTGTTGCTCGGTACATAATGCTTCTTAATTATATATATTTTGGTCGACAGTTTATATTTCTTTTGTTTATTCCTATTCTTAAAATAACTGCTTTTTTAGAAACAAACCACCTAAAATATACGTGATTGATGAATTGGCGGAACAACATGGGCACAAAGTTCTTCGTCTGCCTCCTTACCATTGTATATTTAACCCTATTGAGTTAATTTGGGGCATAACAAAAGGTTACTATAACAGACATATTGGTAGAGATGGTAACAGTGAAAAAGACTGTTTGGATATGTGGAACGAGGCTCTACAAACGGTTACCCCAGACATGTGGAAAAATAGTGTTCGACATACTGAGCAAGAAATTTTTAAATGGTATGAAAGAGAACGAATTTTTGATCGACCAGACATCGAACCTTTAATAATCAACTTTGAGAGTGATGAAGATTCAGATTCAGACAGCGCTGAAGAAAGAAACTCCGACTAACTTTATTGTACAGAAAAAGCTTACACCAGTAGCTTACCTAATTTTAGAATGCATTTTTCTGTATGAATTCTGTAAAATAAATACCATGCATAAAATTTGGAGGACCCCATTTGGATTTTTATTCAGTACCTTTAAGCTATCAATTAAATATGGTAGTTTCATAGTGTCATCTGATCAATAATTGTCATACTTAATGATTATGCAGGTACAGATCTATAATTTTATTATACTATTATTTTTGTTCTCATTTGAGGTTAATATTGCTTATAAACCTAATATGTAAATAATAAATTTTATTATTTTACAAAAAGTTTGGCAACAATGTAAATTTTTCAACACACCCACCTTGATGACGTGCACGCCACTTTGTTTGGCGTTGACTATAAACAAATCACTAATCAAGTCCTAATCTAGAAAAACTGCTCGAAAATATCTCCACCATGTTGAATACACAGCCGTAGTCTTTGTATAAATGACCGTCACAGAAGTTCTGCATATATCAGTTTCTGCTCCAATTTGCCGTGCACCTGAATGGGGATTTGCCTGTAACTTTAATAGAACCTCCTACTGATTCGCCTCATTTATGACACTTGGATTATTTATACATTTTTTACTATACTCCACTGCCCCACTTGATTCAAAACGTTCTCGTAGTGCCTTGGATGTCGCATATTAGGGTACCGTTGCTTATAAATGCGAGATTACTTCTTTGGGCTTCGCCCAAAACGAACACCATATTCACGATTTCTTCTTTAGAAAAAATCATTTTCAAACACGTTTTTATTATAATGCACACAGCTAGCTTTGACAGTTTGTAACTAATCAACAGTTTGTTTTCAAGGATGATACGATATTTTAGGGAATTAAGCCGTTCCATAAAAGACGTGCTAATAGCCGTAAAACCCTTATGTCTCTAGTATCAAAAAAGCTTATAAAAAATTGAATCCAAACTTGAACAAATATATAGGTTGATGCATTTGAAATTTTGAAGAAAAACTACATTTTGCGTAAAAGTAACAAATAAGATAAAAGCTGAGGTGAGTAAGTTTTTTTTTTATACAAAATTCAGTACTGCAAATTTCAAAATGGCGGACTGAAGGGTTGCCGAAGTGGGGGGTTTTTCTAGACAAAACACCTTATATCTCAGTAGCTAATTACCAAAACCCCATAGTATGTTATAACAATTTCCTTCCTTTGAATTAGTTTATCCAAATATGCTATAAAATTTGAGGCATTCCATTTGAAAAATCACAATTTTGATATGTAAGTCGAAATTGGGACACCCTGTATAATGGCAAATAGTTTAGAAATGTGCCCTCAAGTGTCATGTATATCATCCCATAAATAGATTTTCCCAAAATGTATTTGTTTATGAGTAATATTCCGTCCACACATGGATGGGCCACCCTATATATATCAAATCTGTGATTTTTTAGATGAAATGCCTCAAAGTTTTACAGCATATTTGGATAAACCAATTCAAGTGATAAAGATTGATATATAGATACTATGGGCTTTTGGTAATTAGCTACTGAGATGTAAGGTGTTTTGTCCAGAAAAACCGTCCATTTCGGCAACCCCTCAATCTGCCATTTTGAAATTTGTAGTGCTGAATTTTGTATCAAAGAAAAAACTTACACACCTCAGCTTTTATCTTATTCGTTACTTTTTCGATTTTTCATTTTTGCTCATACAGTGTGGTCAAAAACGCGAATTGTACTTTTTCTCAAAAATTTCAAATGCATCACCCTGTATATTTGTGCAACTTTGGATTCAAGTTTTTATTATATTTCCACGTTCTTCGATTTCCCTTTTTACTTGCTTTTTTGATATAAGGTCTATAGCGGTTTGAACGCCTGTTTTTGAGTTAAAGTTAAGCAATAGCCAGAGTCGGGTACAATACACTTAAGAGGAGTATTGTTCCAAATGGAAGACGTGAAAGGTTTTTTCGAAATAAATTAATAGACTTCCCTATTGGGGGAATCTAGATAGGTGCGAGCCACAATAGGCCAATGCGTCGTAGTGGATGGTCGAGTAAGCTGAAAATAACTTTCAGCAGTTTGTTTCGACCACTCGAAATTTTTCAATCGATAGCTCTAGGATGAGTGGTTTCCGATATGGCCCACTCGATATAAGCATGACGGCGAATGTGGAAGTAATGAATCTATTCCATTTTTAGGTGATTTCTTCGTGCACTTTGAACTGCTACCTACGATGAATAACATGCTACAAAAGCACGTACCTGACGCACCAGCAATAACGGATATTATCTATAACAATAGTTTGATGTTGCTCACTTCACACTCAAGTTTCGGAAATCCCGTACCTTTACAACCTAACATTAAGGAGATTGGAGGTCATCATATTTTGCCTCCTAAAGAGCTGCCCAAGGATATAAAAGACTTCTTGGATTCCGCAAAAGAAGGTAATCATTAAAAATACCATGTCTGCAGTATTTAGACCCTAATTCGTACTACTTTGATGAGTGAAAATATCTAATAAAAATTATTCTCTGGACTATTTCTCTACTATAATCATTAGCCAAACGTTTTGATATAAGTAAGATCCAAGAACTAAGCATTTCAATAAGTGTTTTATGTTTCAATGATAAAATGAGTATTGCTATGATTATAGGTGCTATATTGTTTTCAATGGGATCCAACTTGAAGAGTGCTGACTTTCCAGAAGACAAGAAAAAAGCAATACTGAAAGCATTCTCTAAAATAAAGCAGAAAGTATTATGGAAGTTTGAGGCTGACTTGCCAAATAAACCTAGTAATGTTAAAATTATGAAGTGGCTGCCACAAAAAGATGTATTAGGTACGTATAGACAAGAACACAATAACCTTAGGAAAGAGACGTACTTTCATAAAGTGAAATATAGTACAAGGATAGAATATTTTCTGGACCGATGATTTTAATATTTGTACAGCCCCCCAAAAACAGCACGAGTTATTTCTTGGAATGCCAGGTTTATGTACGCGGTGAAGCTTGCCATAAATGCCTAGGCGTGGTAACGACAAGTTAAAAGAAGCGACGATAGAATGCTTATGTTCCTTTTGACGCAGCATAAATGAGGTTCGAATCGACTACAGTATCGAGCTCCGAAAGGCTTGAGGGTAACCATATCTATTCTAATCTAGACTTACTTAAGTTTTTTGAGATATAAGCAAGGTTCAACATATGGTAAGGAAAGGCTTAATGTAAGACAAACGCCTTGAATCTTTTAACAACGAATCCCTTTTAGAAAAAAATGTTCGAGAAGGCACTCTTAAATATGATAGTCGAGCGGACCAGTTTTTGAGTATCTCAAATAAATTGTTTAGGCCATTTTTGCCTTTCACTGAAAATTGAATAATATAAATTTTAGATCTTCAAATATGGTAGACTGTATCAACCTCATGCCTTATACACATACATTTTTATATGTTCGCTGTTAGAAGAAAGTAAGAGGAATCTCAGCGGATACAAAATTAAACAACAATTGCGCTTCTGTGGACTGTGGTGACCCAAATTGGTTGAGTTACTTCCTTGTTACTGGATCTCAAATGTGCAAATGTTTTACTTCGCCATCTCAAGGGAAAACTGTTGAGCCTTATATTATTTCCTCACAAGACAAACAAACTGGTCCGTTTTATGTCGAAGTACCATTTCTCACATTTCAGATCCATAAGCAATGCACATGCAGCATTTGTAGCCGAGGATAGTATAATAATTAACCGGTTGCGACATCATGTCTGGGCGGGTTTTTGCGTTTTCAAGTAACGTCATGTTTGCTTATAGCATTAGGGGGCTGATCCTTCTTTTGGGAGTGGGAATGCCTACCTCACGCGGTCCTGGGCTTTTCTGTTTCACGCGATGTTATATCAAAACTGTAATGATGAACAACACCATGTAGGCATCTTTCTCGACCCTTGTCAAGTATATTAAGGAGAAATTCCCAAAGAGTAGCCACCCACCGCCTACGCACCAGGATGGAGCGATTGTAACCAACTCAAAGGGTAAGACGGAAGTGCTTGCCAAGATCTTTGCTGCCAGATGGACTTCCCCGTAGAACGGGTGCTCTTGTCGCTCGACAGCAACAAAGTTGTGGTATGCTGCCCTCCTAACCACAACAATCTGTTACCATTTAGTGCCTCCAAAATGCAATACTGCTCTCCCTGACGAACAAGAAGCGTACAGTTTCAATGAATGGCATAGTTCTACCAAAGAGACGTTTGTTGCGAGGACTTGATCTGTCATGAGTGCATCTCGTCAATAGCGGCAGTTGTTGACAAAACGTTACACTATTTGTTTAGGGCTGAGAAGTAATTTTCTCCTTATAACCTTCTCACTCTGTACAAGGCCCAGCCTAGCCTCGAATATTGCTCATATGCTTGGGGCGCTGCCGCCCCGACTACATTATTCATACTCGATACTGCTCAGAGGAGCGCTGTCCGACTGACCGATTGCTCTTCGCTAACGGAGCTCTCCTCCATGATGCCACGCCTGCCAGACTTCGGCCCCCCGGTCTAACCGTGCCGAACTTCGTACATCCATAACTGGCCACTACGACCGTTCCTTTGTCCCTTGGCATTCAACATTGATGAACAATTTGCCTCAAAAGGGTTTTTCTAGATCTACTAACTTTAGGCGGTTCAAAAATCCGATTCACAAATTGTCTCTTAGCTCGTTAGAACAGCCGTAATGCCCCGGTGCTTAGGCTTCGGTCTACGCGGCTGCTTCGGTAATCTGGAAATCAGATAAACAAAATATACTGTTATTATTGTTATTGCATTCAAGGTAGGCCACCGAGGTGGTCAAAACGTGCAATAAACAGAAATTTAAACGTATAGCATATGTGGTTTGATTCGGCCCGACAGTTGGGTCCTATGAACATCAAAACCTCAAGAGCGTTGAACCAAGGTTGGAAACTTTCATATCATACGGCTTCTTTCGAGGATACACGTTACACATTGCAGAATAAAGGTATATTCTTTAATTCAAGAGATCGTCGATATCTGAAAATTTCTTGGTTTTCTGATTTATAGTTCTTATATTGATTCTCGGAGGGCAAACTCTCTCCGCTGGATAACTTCTTCATCAGAATCATGACTCGAATCGCTTAACAAACGTTCCACGACCATACCAACTGCTGCGTAAATTTCCATAATGATTTTAAATGATACGGTGTTCAAATTAACAAGTATCCATTTACGATAAAACAAGGGTTAGGTTTTCTCATATGACAGCAATCTGAAGGCTAAAAATGCAACTTTTTAATAACGACCATTCAGCGGAACCGGTTGCTAACGTCATCACATCAGCTGTCAACCATGAGTTCACCGGATCCATCAGTGATTTAATCAACCGGTGAATTAAAGAATATACCTTAAGTCTAAAATGGTTAATTACAAAAATTTCTAGCAGAAATACACGCTCCTTCCTTTAAAAATATGCTGTTTTCTCTACGTGACAGCACGAACAAGCTTTAATCAGAATACCCTATATATTTAACTATCTTCTGAATGAAATTTTGAATGGAGAAAGTTACAGTTACAGTTTAGATCCTTACTTTTGGAGCTACGTAATACTTGTCCGAAAAATTTTTTTTTGATAGAGTAGGATGTATAGAACTGCGAAATATCTGTGATCAATCATGTCATATCTTTAAACATTTTTGGGAAAAAATGTAAAGCATTTGCCTATAAAGCCCTTGTCCGCCAGATACCTTAATCCGTATTTCCAAAAACGTTATATTTGAGCAGATGAACAACATAAACAATGACGTAAATATGGAAGATTTTTGCAATTTCAGCACACCCAAATGTGGTAGCATTCATAAGCCACGTTGGACTCTTGGGAACTCTAGAGGCAGTATCCGCTGGTGTACCTATTCTGGGCCTTCCTGTATTTTGGGATCAAGTCAAGAATATCGACGATGCTGTTGGGAAAGGAATCGCAGTGAAACTCAATTTCTTCGAACTGAACGAGGAAACTTTCGATAAAGCTTTGACCGAAGTCCTAAAGAATCCAAAGTAAGTACTATCTTCGTACGTGAAAAGAAGTTCAATAGGAAATCCTATTTTTTTAATCGATATAATGCATTCAAACATTATCCATTCTCAAATATCAGCTTTCTGTGATCTAACTAGTATCTAGATCAAACCAAGAGAGAAGCAATTTTCTTAAATGGCGTCAAGTTGGATGCATCTGCACTTTCCAGGCAACGTTATCTTGCGTCCACGACACATTATTTTCGGCACAAATTTGTCCCTCATATAAATAAGTTAAAGCTGCGATTCTGCAAAATTCCTACAGTGCTGTAAATCTTATCTTTGGTAGCTAAGCAGTGTTTACTAATATCTATCGTTATATCATTATAATTTTTAAGGCGCACACCGTAGGATAACAATGAATGACACTTCTATATACAGGGTGTTTCAGTTTATTGTTGTATAACTTTAAGATTCGATAGAACTCTTAAAATTAATGCATAAAGTCTATATAAACATGGGTCGATAAATGCGTGGCTTCCGAAATACAGGGTGTTTAAATTTACTTTCTAAAATAGTTTTTTTCAAATATTTCGAATAATATTTCATGTATAACAGTGAAAATTGGTATACAAGGGTTTTTTGGTACGACAAAACGAACCATGGGCATAGTTTTACTGTAGCCGCTAGAGGGCGCTCTCTACTGTACCTGTAGTGTATTAAAATAACCAAAAAATTTTTCTTAGTGCAGTTTTTTGCTTTTTGAATAAAAAATCTGATTCTTCGCACTTTTCAACATAAAAAAGCTCTCCTGTGAGCTTTCGTTATAGTTGGCCGTTTTTGAGATATTTCGATTTCTAAGGTTCGATGCATTTTTAATTATTTATGGGAAAATATTTTTTTTTTACATTTTCGATTTGGACATTACAAGTAATTAAGATGATCGTTTAGATTGCGTTTTTAAACACAGCAATAATTCCTAACTCCAAATAAACACAAAAAAACAGAATATTAATTTGTTTAATTTTCCAATATTATTTTTAACAAATTAAATTAATTATTTACAACTAAAATGCTATTGGACAGTTAGGACAAACATACAAAATCTAAAGTAGTTGCTCGAAATATAAACCCAATTGTTCAATACACAATTCACATCTACGAATTATTCAAATAAGGCCTTATTTCATCACATGCATTCCTGCTTCTGTCTATTAGCATATCTCTTGTGGTCACGGGAGTCTGGTACACTTTTTTTTAGAAATCCCCACACAAAGAAATCTAATGGATTTAGGTCAGGGGATCGTGGAGGCCAGGCGACTGGTCCTCCACGGCCGATCCATCTTTCTGGATAATTTTCGTCCAGCCAGTTTCGAACTATTCTCGAATAATGAGCTGGATAACCATAAGGCTGGAACCAGACCAATCTTCTTAAATCTAACATAACGTCATCCCACATATTTGCATGTTCAGCCTTTAAAAATTCCAAAAAGATCGCATCATTTAACCTTACAGGTAAAAGGTAGGGTCCTAATAGTCGATTACGGTAGATACCAATCCACACGTTCACACTAAATTCATGCTGAAAATTTCTTTCCCGAACTGCATGCGGATTTTCATGCGACCAAATATTTATGTTGATTATGAAAATTTACCACTCCACGTCTAGTGAAGCATGACTCATCGGTCCATAAAACGTTACTTAAAAACTCCCTATTATTATCAGTTCTATCAAGAATCCACTGACAAGATGTGATTCTTCGTTCTCCGTCCCCTGGCTGTAGTCCTTGCACAGGTTGCAAATGGTAAGGACGTCTATGGTCATTTCTAAGAACACGGTTAACATGGCTTGCTGAAATTCCCAAGGCACCAGAAACTCTCCTAACACTTGTGGTCGGATCTCTATCAAACTCACGCAGAATCATACGGGTAAATCTGCGCTGACGAACATTTATGTTTTGATCCTTTTGGAGATTTCCAAAACCATTTTCAATTATTTGGCGATGCACTCTTACAAATACTGAGCGAGTTGGATGTCGTCTGTTTGGAAATCTTCGTGCGTATTCTCTGGCTGCTTCTGCTCCGTTTCCATTTACAAAGCCATACACAAAATGAATATCCGCTAACTCTTGATTGGAGAATAAAAATGGCATTTTTATAAAACTTACAGAAAAAAAAACAGGTAAAAGAAACTAAATTTCGTGCATTCACAATTGCAAAAAAACGTTTCAGGTTTCAACAGACAACAAAACTAACTGTCAACTAATTGACGTTTATCCTTATTCTGCTTTCAATTTCAAAAATATTTGCAGGCTCAGCCTACTTCTAAAAATTATCGAGATACTGACTTTTTAACGTTATTTTATCATAAATATTTAAAAATGCATCGAACCTTAAAAATCGAAATATCTCAAAAACGGCTAACTATAACGAAAATTCACAAGAGAGCTTTTTTATGTTGAAAAGTGCGAAGATTCAGTTTTTTTATTCAAAAAGCAAAAAATTGCACTAAGAAAAAATGTTCGGTCTTTTTAATACACTACAGGTACAGTAGAGAGCGCCCTCTAGCGGCTACAGTAAAACTGTGCCCATGGTTCGCTTTGTCGCACCGAAAAACCCTTACATACCAATTTTCACTGTTATACATCAAATATTGTTCGAAATATTTAGAAAAAACTATTTTAGAAAGTAAATTTAAACACCCTATATTTCGGAAGCTACGCATTTTTCAACCCATGTTTATATAGACTTTATGCATTAATTTTAAAAGTTCTATCGAATCTTAAAGTTATGCAACAGTAAACTGAAACACCCTGTAAAACCTCGTCAGCGAAAGCATACAGTCCACGATAGGTAGTACCTTCTATCTTCAATGCGCTCGACGCGGGTACTAAAATTGTTTCATTAGTCTAGCTGCGTATAATTACCCGGGTTACAAGAGCATAAATAGACTAACGCCAACAAATTTAGATATATCCTCCCCTACGCTCCAAAATAGCCACCCCCAATTTCCAAATATGAGCAGATATCCCTTAAATTAATGTCAAAAACGAGGTTTGGGCGATTTTCTTTTTGTTCCTCTTTTTCGCCTGTAGCTTCAATCACTGGATTGATTTTCAAGAACTACAAGGCTTTTTCAGTGATATACAAATCCGAGTCGCACTTTACAAGTTATAGAGAGGGAAGGATTAGCAGGCAAGCTAACATATAGAACGAAATACACACCGACGGAAGTGAGTGACATGGCTTTTCGTTGTCAAGTAAGAACAAAAAAAATCATTTCACAAATTTTCTGCGATTACAACAGTTTCTCGCCAGGTGGCGTAAAATCAATTTTGTGAGAAGTTAATAAAATAGATGCGCCAGGTAGGTAGACTCGCAAAGCTGTGAAATAGCCCCTCTAAAAAGAAAGCTGGCTACTAACATGTATAACAAAAAATTAAATGGATCAAGTCAGTCAAACAGGCATATGTAATTGAAATTTGCATATTAAACCTGATTTTGTGTATAACTTTGGGAGTATATAGCATTTAAACCCTCCCCCCACCTGTTGACAAAATGACAAAAATGGCTACCATCCGTTCTTCAAAAAGTTATCTCTTGCTGGTGAATGCCCCCCTCCCCCCTTAGAAAAATCTCTCCGGGAATCCGTGAACTATTACTAAGTTCGCCGCTATTAGTAGCTCACGGCAGTACGGCAGCCACTATAGGCTGCAAAACGGGGAAATCTATGGTGTGTGAAATATGTTTAAACCTATACAATTACGGGGGCCGGAGGCGCATAAATATACTGACATCAAAACATGAGATGTACCCTCCCATATACCACCTATAATCCCCAAAACGCAATGTTTTGTCCTGTCAACTTTTTTTCTGAAAATTATCAGTGCCTCCGAAAGGGAGGTTTGAAAGATTTCTATTTTCATCAAACTACAACGCTTTTTCGTCTTTTGAATAATAGTAGCCTTATGTGAATATTCCATCAAAATCTGAACGGTACTTTCGAAGTTATAAACGAGATAGGGATCAGTGGAGAGACTGACAAACAGACAGATAGACATAAGGACATATCGACACACCAACAGACCTACAGACCGACAAACCGATATACAGGTAGACGGGAATTAGTGTTACGGTGTATTTTGATACATTATACTCGTATTTATCTGTTACCTATTATTATCCTTATTTATAGGTATCGAGCCAATGCGAAGAGACGATCACAGCTAATGCACGATCAGCCCATCAAGCAAATGGATGAAGCTATTTTTTGGATCGAGTACGTCATCAGGAATCACGGCGCGTACCATCTGAGATCATCGGCGGTAAATCTTAAGTGGTACCAGAGATATCTTGTGGACGTCATTGCATTTGTTGGTGGTGTTTTAGTAATCGTACTTCTAATTTTTTATAAACTAATGGGCGTTTTGTTTGGATCGAAAAAGAGTGACAAACACGTTGGAAAAAGTAAAAAGAATAATTGATTTCGAATGATTGGGAGTATAGGATTAAGATGTCATCTAGTCGGCTGAAGTGGTAGTAGTAGTACAGGTAAGCTGTCTCTCCATAATGATCCAATGTTAACTTGTATAACTAGTATAGAACATATTGCTAACAACATATAAAAACCTAACACATAATAAAACAGTTTGGTTGGACGCGAATGGCCAGGCAGTGACAATGACGTGAATGGACAATGTTGAAAAAAAAATAAAATAGAGCGCCCTTAACATCATTGGCCGGGAAATGATGTTAAGCCCCTCAAGCAGCAGTCACTGATGATTCAGTAGCATCTAAGGTTATATTACACATAATGGGTAGTTATGTTTCTTTTTGTTCACATAGGCACTGATGACTTGACTCCACTTTACTATTCGAACCGGTATGAAATTCTGATGAAATGTGACTTCCAAGAAGTATTAATGTAATTTTAGAAGCTAATCGTTCTGACAACGAATCGCTTTTCAACGCTGAGTAATTATATGATCAAGTTCTACCAAAGCGCCGCTCATTTCGATTGGTCGGAAATCAGATCATCAGAGTCTTTATCTGGCACGAACACATGTCATCAAACACGGCAGCTGCTGTGGAAAAGCTAGCCTATTTGTTTAGGGCTGAGGAGTATATTTATCGACATAATCTCCTCACTCTGTACAAGTCCCAGATAAGACCTAGCCTTGAGTACTGCTCACATGTTTGGGGTTCCGCCGCCTCGATTACATTACCCATGCTCAATGCTGTCAGAGACTGTCCGACTGCTCGAAGACTCTTCTCTCACGGACCATCTCAGGACCCTTTCGCACCGACGGGTGGTCGGCACTCTGGCTACCGCTATAGCAACGGGCCGTGCTCCCTGTGCTCCAACAGCCTTCTGCCTCCCATGCTGACTCTAGCGAACTCTGTACATCCAAAACTGGCTAGTACGACCACTCCAGGGTGTCAAAATTGTAGAACAGGAGGAGGCTTCATCAAGTTCTATAAACCTCAGGTAGTCAAAAAAATGGATTAAATAAGTTCCTTTAAGCTCCTGATTGCTAGCCGCGGTGCCCTGGTATTTAGACCTCTTCTTATGCGGCTGCTTCAGTGTAAAAAAGCAACCATATTACTGAGAGGCAGATACATTGGTGTCAACTCCAGGATCCAGGTCTCAATGGACTTTGTTTTGACATGGTTGTTTTTTCGTTACTACAGGCTTGGTTCGTATTATTTTCGAATTTCCATATCCTGAGGACAAGGGCGGAACCAGTTGTGAAGTCAGGGGGGCAATAAGTCACAGTGACAGATTTATGAAGCTGTCTAGAGGAGGAGGCGATGAATTCCTGAAGGGAGGGGGGCTATCGGTGGTTAAAAATTGGGGAAGGAGGGACTGGCCAATCTCTTGATTTGCCCAGAACGGCAGGGGGGGTCATGAAACTGAGTGCGCAGTTCAAATACAACTAATGCTGACCGCCCTACACACATTTATTACTGAGTCATTTAAGTGCTATCATCCAATATTTTCGGTTATTGCCGATTTGCGACTGTGATGACACAATGGCAGAGGCGTACGATGGATATGCAAATAATTGTGAAGAGAATGCATTAGATTATTGGATCAAAGGGAGAGAATAATATAATTGTTATTCGTGTGGTACTAATGTCTGGTTGCATAGCCTTTCTCAATTCTACCGCTCAAAATTTGAAAAACTACGAAGATTCTAAAAATTGTGCAGGTTTTAAGAATTTTGAAAACTGAACTGGAAGGAAGACTTGAGTGATATCCAATACTTCTCTAGTGGTTATGAAGTCAAAGAGGAGGTAAATCGCCTCCTCAAAGGGTTGGCGGCAAAGCTCTATGATATTGGGATACAAACATTGAAACACTGTCTACAAAAATGGCGATGTTGTAGAAAAATAGGGCAAAGCTTCATCTTTGCAATGATGTAAATTTCTATAAGAATAAAGCCGAATATTTTTAAAATTGATGGGAAACTTATTTCTGGATCAATCCTCGGATATAGTAACTCTTTATGAGAATCACGTCTGCAACTACAAATTTGTTGATTGTCCAGGTCGTGTGTCATTATCATAGGTACACGATATAATGTGATATAATTATGAATGTCAGTCTGTCATCAATTTACCTGAATAGGTACATATATAATATATATATATATATATATATATATATATATATATTTCTCGTATGATGTGAGGTCTCTGTAAAATGTATTGATATTTCAAACTTTCCGAACAGTATTTTGACAACAGAATTTGGCACAGTGCACTGCCGGGTTGTCAAACCAAAAGACAGGCAGACGACTTTTCTGGCTACTCTCATCCGTTTATTTTAAGTTCCACTCAAGTTTTAAGTGAATCTGTTGCAACAGAAATATCGTAATTGAGGATCACATTAGCTAAAAGTCGATCTTAGCAAGGCAGTAAAACTGGGAATACGAGTAAGATTAGTCTCTAATGACGTCTATATCCTCATATTTATATTTGTGATACGCTTAGATAAATTGTATGCAATAGTTCAAAATAAATTATGCCGCTGGTTGTAATCTGACTATGTCAATAACATTGACCTATTTTATACATAGTAATTAAATACCATGTTGCTTGATCATTTGTTGTTTATTATTAAAATATAATTATATAACGTGACGACGTGACGGAATACTTCCGTGCCATCTGATTTATGTTTTATCTGAAACGTCCCGCAAACCATGTTTTTCATTTCTATATAATTCAAGCGGTGACAGCACTGTATTTTTCTCAGGATAAAACGATAATCTTCTTGTGTACAAAAAGCAGTACTTTATGTGATATTGGATCCTTTGACGTAGCCACTTTGGCTTCTACAGAGTTTTACCTCTTGCTAAACCCGTTTTTGAATGCCTGACACTTGTCTCGATATGTTTAACCAAAATCCTAATCTAAAATTCTACCTAACAGATACGTCCTTCTATTCTTTTCGTCATTGTCTACCAGAGCGATCTGTAGAACCTTTGTTATTGGTTCATGTTTCGTAAGTCAGTAGGTTTGTCAGGAAGGGGGAAGAGCAAAGAGGAGGACGTGCGTCACTTGGAGGAGCGCCTTGCTATTGTTAACTAGTATTCAGTAATTTTAAATTGTTCCAAAATTTAATTTATTAATTTGAATTTGTGGTAAAATTCTTATTCTGATTGGATCTAGAATTGCACGATTTAATTTTGTTCACAGTGCGAGCTGTGGTCTTGAGTGCTTGTGAATTGAAACCTCAGACGATGCGCGGTTAAGTTTTTCAGTACAATAGATAAACTACGTTTTTGAATGATTTATTTTAATCAGCGACCGATCCGCCACTTCTAATACCTCGTCCACTGCACTTTGCTGCCTATCATGAACCAGAACCCACACCACGACTGGGCCACCAGCTCAGTGTCATCAGCATAGAGATAGATTGTAGACTTGCGAGCCAAGCACGTCATGAATAAAAACTGAATAAATGATTGGTCCAAGAACTGATCCCTGAGGGAGAAGAGATACTTGTTTTGTGCAGTCAACCGTAACCGCATCACCAATCAAGTTCGTGATGTCGCTACCTTTCAAAACGACACGCTACAAGGACACGTTTGAGCAACTAAAGCATACAATTGGCGGTTATTATTTGATTAATTTTTCCACAATGTCAGTTGACACTAACCACTTACTTGATCGTTTTCTTTTCTTCCTGAAAACTTATTTGCTTAGCGAAAAATTGCCGGGCATGTGAACTAAAAAGTTAAAACTAGTCATTTTGTCTTAGATACATACACAAATAAAATCGTTGGTTATACCTATAGTGCGTTGCCTTCATTTCTTTTCTATAAAGTTTAAAAACGTTGCTTCCGTTGTTGTTTTGGACAAATACTTTTAAGAATAGAAACTGACCGTTCCTTTCAATTTCGTATGTGAGTGAAATCGACTGCTTCAGTTTTTGACAAAGTCGTGAGCAAAAACATCGTCTACATATACTAAGTGACATATAAATCCGAACACCCAGTTTAAATGGTTATATTTTAATAAAATTTTGTATAAGTACTTAATGAAGCATAATAAGTAAATGATAAAAATTTCAAAATGATTGCACTGCTTTAAAGCCCTTTGACCTTCTGATCAGGTGGTCAATGTCCTCCTGTGGTATCTCATTCCAGGAAACCACCAACTCCTCTCGAAGTGCTTCTAGAGTCTGAGGAGGACGTTGCAAATTAAGCAATCTCCTACTCATCATATCCCACACGTGCTCAATTGGGGATAAGTCGGGAGATCTTGGTGGCCATGGTATCAATGTGACATCATTATGTTGAAAGAAATCTATTGTGACTCTTGTAACATGTGGTCGGGCATTATCTTGTAGGAAAATTGGATCTGCCAGGGTGTCAAGATAGGGTAAAAGATGGGGTTCTAGAACTTCGTGGATATAACGCTGCGCGTTCATGTTACCTCTGATGAAGATTAAAGGTGACCTGGAACCATAAGCTATAGCACCCTAAACCATAACTCCAACAGTGTGATGAACTTGTCTTTCAACAAAAAACTGTGGATTCCTCCTTTCACCACGTCGCCTTCTAACCCTGGCACGACCATCGTGCATGCCTAAACAAAATCGAGACTCGTCACTAAAGACAATACAGTTCCATTCCTGATCCCAGAGTGACCGTTGTCTGCACCACTCAAGGCGATTACGTCGGTGTTCTCGAGTTAAAGGGAGGACCCAGTGTGGCCGGTATGAAAACAAGCCAAAACTTCTCATTCGTCGGTAAACACTTGGCATGCCAATAGGTCTTCCGTGTTCTGCAAACCATTCATTTGCAATGGACCTGGTAGTAGAGAAACGGTCCCTTAAGGCCAATAATCTTAGGCAGCGATCTTCACGGTCTGTTGTTCTACGGCGCCGTCCAGTGCCCCTTGCTCTTTGCGTACGGCATTCTCGAAGACATGCCTGACAACACCTAACCACAGTGTCTACACTTCTTTGCACTCTAACTGCAATTGCCCGAAAAGAAAGTCCAGCGTCCCGAAGTCCCACTATACGGCCCGTATCAAACTCACTAAGTTGACGAAATCGTACAGGTCTCCGTACTCTAGGCATCGTAACCGATCGTAAAGGATGTCAAGAATCAAAATCCGCCAACGTTGATTCTTTACTGCGGCTGAAATATTCATTTTTAGAGCGTTAGTGAATTAAAAAAAAGCAGTATAAAAACCGAAATGTCCAACTGATAAGGCTGATAATTTTTTCACTTGTTATTTACAGTCAGATAAATACATTCACCAACTTTTATTAAAATAAAACCATTTAAACTGGGTGTTCGGATTTATATGTCACTTAGTATATTTAGACCAAAGCCTCGGGAAGTATTCGAATGAATTTTTAACAGTATCTCCGAAATGGTTTCAGTTTCTGATAACTGTGTCTGCTTTTTGCTGAAAATATTCTCCCTCTTACTGGAAAATATCTTGAACCATAGGTGCAAAGGTTTGGTATTGGTACACTAGGTAATAATGAGGACACATCAAATGAAGGAGTATCTCTAAAAGGCGGCAAATGTTTCAGCCTTATCATGACGCCAATTTGAACTTATCATCGGGAACCCACAATCTAACGATACAACCAAAAAAATTACTGTCGCCCAAACTGTATGACTCTATCTCTTGGAAATATAAATAATGCATGTTTCCGTCTAGTATTTATCCTTGAAGTTCCGAAATTCGGAAGCGCTGCTAGTTACGCAGACATCTTTTGCATACTATTTCATGTTTTTGTGTACCTTGATAAGAAAAGCTCAATTCATCATTGGACGCAAATAAAGCAATTACCAGCCGTCTAAACTATCCATTGCCCCTTTAATTTTTTCCATGAGCAACTGAAGAACAAAAGAAAATACATTGTATAATGTGAATATAAAACATTTAGGTTGTGATGATAAGTGACTACTAATAGTGTATAGTTAAAATTAAAAATTGCAAGGTCAACCAAATAAATTTACGATATCTTCGAGTGACAATTCAAAATATTCTTCTAGTAAATAATCGAATGTTTGGAATATTCACAGATAAATAACAGTAGGCCAGAAGACGATTTAATGTAGTTCAGTCGGTCAATGAGTAAAACAGAATGAAGTTCAGTCTAATTTTTTTTGGTCATTTAGTGCTCACGCTGATTTGTTATGGAAATGCTTCAAGCATTTTATTTCTTGAAGCCATATGCTGCTACAGTCACTACACATTGGGATGGAGCATTGCAAGCGAACTTGCGTCAAGAGGTCACCAAGTAACTCTGGTAGCTGCTTACAAACAGCAAGACACACACACCAATTTAAAACAGATTGTTATCAACACATGCACAACTTGGCAAGGTAAGCCTATGGTTTTAACATTACTAGCCGCTTGATGAGTCCAATGTTTCATTATATCCTGTGAACAAAGAAAATAGGTAGCAGATATATCGTACCAGGTGCCCCGCACGGTGAGGAAGCTCTGTTTTTGTTATACGTATTAATGACATCCTGTGAGACGTATATAGTCTCTTTGGCGGATAACGGGATGACATGTCTTCAGCAGCATCCTAGGGAAGAGCAGGAGTTTTCCAGAAGCTATGGACTGATGGGAAGTTATTTGAGTAGAAACATATTTACCATCTACTCGTACCGTCTAGTTAAACAAAAGTTGAAATAAAATCGGCTGAAAAAGTCAAATACCTAGGAATCTTGAATGACAAACATATCATATGGGATCAGCAAATAAAAAGCTTGGCAAAATGTTTGAGCTGTCTTACTTCCAAATGTAGCTTCCTTAAATATATTTTAAAAAGAAAACAATGATGCGGTGTATGCAATGAGTTGGTACAATCACTCTTATTATATAGATTATTAGTATGGGGATCAGTTTCCAACTAGTATTATTTAAAAAAAAATGACGTAAATCGAAAACGTCTTATCAAACTAGTACTTAATGATCTTGCTGTATAGCCCTGCAATATTCTGTATGAATGGTTACAAATACTTGTCTATAGACAAATCCTGCTCTGAGAAGCTATTAGTATATTTTATAAAGATTAAACATCTTATGACTCCAGTCCAACAGTATTACTATACAAGAACTGAATGTCTTTTTGTATAGGGTGGCCAATCTATCTGTGGATGGAATATTCATATCAAAGTTTTTTATTGCATATTTGGATAAACCATTTCAAATGAAGAAGACTGATATAACATACTATGGAGTTTTGGTAATTGGCTATTAGGTGTAAGGTGTTTTGGCCAGAAAAACCGACCACTTCGCCAACCCCTCAATCCGCCATTTTGAAATTTGGAGTGCTGATTTTGTATCAAAAAAACTTACACACCTCGGCTTTTATCTTATTTGTTACTTTTTTGAATCCTCATTTTTGCTCATACAGGGTGGTCAAAAACTCGAGTTGTACTTTCTCTCGAAAATCTAAAATGCATCACCCTGTATATTTGTGAAAGTTTGGATTCAACTTTTTATAGCTTTTTTTGGTTCAAGGTTTGATCCAGATAAAATCACTAGATTTTGAGTTATTACGCTTTTAATACAACAACACATGAAAATTACCGAAAAAAATCACATCATCCACCGAAATAAAAGACAAGCAGTGGTTTAGTTCCATATTGCCACTATGAGTACAGATTTGACGTAAAAACTAATAACAATCAGAACAGTATAAACTAGCTTCAAGCGTAATAGAGAAAAACAACTATAACAACATCATAAATAAACAACTATCACTACTAAAGACCTAATGTACAAAAACTGCTCAAAAATATCTCCACCATGTTGAATACACAGCCGTAGTCTTTGGATAACCGTTACACATCCCTCAGCGTGTGTTCCCTTATGTTCAGAAAAGCATCGTTAATCCTTTCCTTCATATTTTCCGGGGCAAATGGTAGATATCTATAAACCTATTGTTTAACGTAGCCCCATAGAAAGAAGTCCATCGGTGTCATATCTGGTGCTCTAGGAGACCAAGATATAGGCCCATCATGACCGATTCAACGATTGTTATTCCATGTGTCCAAATAGTTACGCACACAATTATGATAATGCGCAGGTGCGCCGTCATGTTGGAAGTACATATGCATCCAAGTTTGCAGGTTGACATCCTCCAAAGCAAAAAATTCAAGTATTCTGTACCTGTTAATCTGTTGTCGAAAAAGAAAGGTCAGATAACTTGTCTGTCAATAACTCCTCCGCAAACATTCAAGATCCATTTATTCCGGAAATCTATTTGCCTAACCCAGTCAGGGTTTTCTGTCGCATAATAGTGCATGTTATGCCTGTTGACAACTTCTATGCTGTTAAAAGTTGCCTCATCGCTAAAAAGAACCTTATCCAGGAAAGTAGTATCTTCACTCACCTTATTTGGCATTATTCTACTAAACTCCATTCGAGCTGCGAAATCTTGATGACGAAGGCCTTGATGCAAGCATAGGTGATATGGATGGTACCTATGCTTGTGAATAATCCTTTGGACAGAAGTTCTGCATATATCAGTTTCTTTTCCAATTTGCCGTGCACTCAAATGGGGATTTTCCTGCAACATTAATAGAACCTCCAACTGATTCGCCTCATTGGTGACACTTATATTATTTATACATTTTTAACTATATTCCACTGCTCCACTTGATTCAAAACGTTCTCGTAGAGTGGGAAATGTTTCCGGTCTTGGATGTCGCATATTGGAGTACCGTTCCTTATAAATGAGAGATGCTAGGAAACTATTTCTTCACCATCACAATTTCTTTTTTAGAAAAATTCATTTTCAAACACGTTTTTATTATAATGCTCACAAAGCTAATTTTGACAGTTTGTAACTAATCAAGGATGATGCGATATTTTAGGGACTAGGAAGGTTCGCCATTTTTTGATTTTTACTCAAATCGAGAGATTTTGTTATTAAAAAACGATAAAAATAATTGAGCAAAAAATATTGATATTTACGTCGACAAAAATCATTTCAAAATCAAGGATTGGCACGAGGCTGGAAAACGTACTGTGCGCGAGACTAGACCGCGTGACGTCAGTAGCCAGACACACCTCGCTAGCTGGCCCGCTGCATTTACAATTCTCACAACAACGCCCCAGTAATCGGCTTGGAGTAGTTAGAGCTGGTACGATAGATTATTGTTAAATTCTGTGAACTTAGACGGTGTTAAATGTCGAACAGAAAGTTTTGTGAGTGTTCCAAAAGATGCCGCGCAACGTAAAAGTGGTTTGACGCAGCTCGACGGGATGTAAAATCAGTTTCTTCCACGTCGACCAGGTACTGCTGCGAAGATCATTTTGACCTGGAAAAAATATGGAATACTATCTACAATACAAGATGAGTACGGTTCGAGCCCGGATGAATCCTAATATTGCACCTCATAAATTTGTATGTCAACTGGGTTGACAATATTAAGCTCTACGAAACGAGTGTTCAGCGAAGAAAGAGCAATATATATATATATATATATATACGAGTATATATATATATATATATATATATATATATATATATATATATATGTAACGTTATACAAAGTTAGAACTAGTGATTCTTTCCAAAAGATTGGGCATTTGTCTGGCATATCAAAGACATGTGCAAGTGAAATTTTTACAAAATCCATTTCAATTATGGAACCGTTTATGAAAGAATCAATTTTCTGGCCGACGGAAAGTAGCATAAGAAGAAATTTACCAATTTGTTTTAGACTGGCGATTTCACAAGTTCATTCTATACTCGACTGTTTTGAAATTCAAATTCAAAAACCAGCAAATGCATTACAACAGTCTTTGACGTGGTCGGACTATAAAAGTGCAAAACCGTCACCGATGTACTTTGGTACGACCACCAAGTGTTGCTGCAGATGAGAAAATGTCTAAAGAAAACGTCATATTGACAAAACGTATAGCTGGTGTTAGGATTCATATAGAACGCATTCTTAGGTGTATTAGGGATTTTAAGATGTTATTTCCTCATGCGGTCATTGGAGCAGAAAGTATTCAAAAACTTGACAGCGTAATAACTGTTGCGTGTGCTATAATAAACCTGCAACAACCCATGATAAACCAAGGCAATTTGTAATTAGAGGTTTGTAAGGTTAACGAATAAATTAGGCACTATGTTATATTTATATAATCATTTAGGTAATAAAAAATGTATTTAATACACTAATATTTAACTAACTATAACTAGGATAGTTTACAACTATGGTAGAGTTTAGGAAACACGTTGGTTTTCCAAAACTGCACAGCACAATCCATAAGGTGTTCAGTAAACTCAGAGTCATAATCAACAAGAACTTTTGTATATTTTTTTTAATTTTCGTGTGTGTGCTATGCATAACACACCTTTCCTACGAAGTGTGCCGTGCATCTGTAAATTAATCTGTGCCAAGCATCTTTTATGTATATCTCCATATAATTTGAAACTGTTTTTTATTCTATTTCGATTACTGTGTCATCTATAATATGGGGTTGTCCAAAATGGACGCAGGAAAGTAAACGCATATTAAAACAAGAAAGATTGATATTCAAATCAAGTTAGGTATTTTATTTTGAAGGTTCATTTATACAATTTATGTGTGAAAAATAATATCGCTCAAATGTTCACCACGACTGGATTTACAGACGTCCACGCGATGGTCGAAATTTTCAATGACATTTTGCAACATGGTCGGTTCTATGGCATTTATCTCGGCAATGATGTTGTTTTTGAGTTCTTGGAGGGTGGCTGGTTTATTGATGTAGACTTTGCTTTTCAAATATCCCCATAAAAAGAAGTCCAAGGGGGTCAAATCGCACGATCTTGGTGGCCATGGCACATTTCCTCTGCGCGAAATCACGCGATCACCGAAGAAGGACTGCAATCGATGGATATTGACGTTGGTTGTGTGGCATGTTGCACCGTCTTGTTGGAAATAAACATCGTCCATATCCATTCCTTCAAGTTGCGGCAAAAGATAGTCCTCTATCGTCACGTGATATCGCTCAGAATTGACGGTAACGGCGTCCCCGGCCGCATTTTAGAAAAAGTAAGGTCCGATGTTGCCTTCGGCGCGAAAAATGGTCGGCCCGACGCAGCTCTTGCGTCAATTGGATCTTGTAGGCGTGTACATTCAAATCTTTGTGGAGAATGCGGAGCAAACTGGTTCTCGAAATGCCCAATTCTTGGGATCGACGCGTTGTTGATCGTCTCTCACACTCTCCTTCACAACAGCAATATTTTCCGGTGTGCGAACGCTCCTTGGCCGGACAGAGCCTGGCCGATTTGCCATAGAACCTGTTGCCTCGAATTTACGCACCAGACGACCGATGGTTGTTTCGTTTGGGCGGTTGTTGCGACCGAAATGTTCACGAAGCGCGCGAAACGTGTTTTTTATTTTTGCAACATTTTTGTAGTGCTCTGTGAATAACTTTAAGCGGTCTTCAATCGAATACGACTCCATAGCGATCAATGGTAAACATTCAACTAACAAAATGACATGTCGGTGACAGAAAACAAAGATGGCGTCTATGTCAAATTGACGTTTACTTTTCTGTGTCCCTATTGGACAACCCATTACCATCTGGCGAAGCCCTAAAATAGCAGCATAAAAGCCGCAGTTTTGGATTTTGGTCTCCAGATCTCTTTCTAGTTCTTTCAAGACCAAGTTTTCCAAACGTAGTCC